CTGCTGCTGCGGGTCACTTACTCAGCTGCGGGCCCCCTCTGAGCCCCACACACAGCCAAGAGGCCTCACCGCAGCTCCGCAGCACCATGCGGGGCCAGAGGCCCTTGGGGGCCCCTGAGGGCCCCTTGGGTCCGCTGCGGGGCCCTGGGGGCCCCTGGGGGCCTCTGGGGGCCCCTGCCGTTGGGGGCTAGGGGCCACAAGCAGCTTGAAAGTCAGGTGCTGCGTGGCTTAGGGCGCAATGTAGTGGCTAGCTATGGCCAGCTATGGCTAGCTAGGGATAGCTGGGGCTAGCTAGGGGTAGCTAGGGACATATACGGCTAGCTACGGCTAGCTAGCCATAGCTAAGGCTGGCTAGGGCTGCCCTATGAGGGCCCCTAGGGCCCCCTGAGTCCCTTCAGGGGCCTCTGGGGGCCCCTAGGGCCCCCTGAAGGCCTTCGAGGGCCCCTGGGGGCTTTTAATGGTCTTTATTTTCCCCAAAACTTTGGGAAGTGCAGCACTAAGGTTCTAGAAAGTTTGAGGGGGGCCCCCAGAGCTGCGATTTGCGCAGCAGCTGAGGGCCCCCCCACTCCGCTCAGGTGTCTGTACATACACCTGAAGTGCCTTCAAAAGCCCCCATTTAAACGCATGCGTTTTTCTTGACCTGCAAGTGGCAGGTTAGGGAGTCTAGATATTAAATGAATTTGAAAATTATAAATTTATATTTAATTTGTATTAGTTGTAAATTTGATTTGTCACGAAAATGCCATTTTGAAAACTCTGGAGGGAAAACCCTCGAGGGGCCATCACCTCTTCCCCGAAAGGCCCTTCTAGGGTTTACGCTAAAAGCCCTTTTAGGGTTTAGGCTAACAGCCATTTTCTTTGGGGTTTAGGCTGAAAGCCATTTTAGGGTTTAGGCTAAAGGCCAATTTAGGGTTTTGGCTAGAAGTGGTTTTAGGGTTTAGGCTAAAGGCCAATTTAGGGTTTAAGCTAGAAGTGGCTTTAGGGTTTAGGCTAAAAGCCAATTTAGGGTTTAGGCTAGAAGTGGTTCTAGGGTTTAGGCTAAAAGCCAATTTAGGGTTTTGGCTAGAAGTGGTTTTAGGGTTTAGGCTAAAAGCCAATTTAGGGTTTTGGCTAGAAGTGGTTTTAGGGTTTAGGCTAAAAGCCAATTTAGGGTTTAGGCTAGAATTTTAGGGTTTAGGCTAAAAGCCAATTTAGGGTTTAGGCTAGAAGTGGTTTTAGGGTTTAGGCTAAAAGCCAATTTAGGGTTTAGGCTAGAAGTGGTTTTAGGGCTAAAGCTCTAGCCGCAGCAGCAGCCTTTGCTGCTGCTCTCCTACATAAAGCTTGTGCTGCTGCCTACTGCATGCTCCAAATCCTAACCGTAAACCCTAAACCCTAGAAACGCCCGCTGCCTAAACCCTAGAACAACTCCAGCGCAAACCCTAGAAAAAGTTTAGCCTAAACCCCGAGCCTAAGCCTCTAGGGTTTAGGGCTGAGCTGCTTGGGTTAAGGGGATACAAAAATGGGTGGAAAGGCTTTTCCAATCCACACTCTTTTCTAGTGTTTAGGGTTTAGGGTTTAGGGTTAGGTCTGGGGTTTAGGCGTGTATTGTGAGGGCGCACATAACATATGAAATGTATATAAATATAAATACTATAGGTGGCCAAAACTACATAAACGCATTTTATTCATTATAAAAATATATTCATTATAAACATATATATATATATATGTAAATAAATATAGATATAAATATATATAAGTATATATGAATAATATATATACATATACGTAAATATAAGTACAAATGCGTAAAGTATTTTTCCTGTTTTGCATGCATCACCGAAAGTGCATATTATAAAAGCATTTAATGAAATATATTATCTCAATTATATAACTCTCACAAATACATTTGTACGTTTATAATTTGCTTGTAAATGAACATTTGGGTGCATTGCAAACTCCAGAAACAAATGTGGACTTTTATGAATTCTATTTATATCTACAAAGTCCATTAAATGCATGCAAACACTCTAAGAAATGCTCTCGTTTCTTTATGTCGACTCTCAGCATGTACTCATAGCTACAATTATATGTAAAAGGGCCCTTAGGGGCCCTTAGGTGGCCCCAGGGGCCCCCAAAGGCCTCAGGGGCCTCTGGGGACCCCAAGGGCCCCCAGAAACCCCTAAGGGCCCCCAAGGGCCCAGAAAGGGGCACTTGGGAGCCTGTGGGGGCCCCAAAGGGCCCCTCTCTTTCGGTTTAGAGGGGGCCTCTGGGGTACCTTATTCTTGGGCTTTGGGGGGCCCCCCGGGGCCTCTCTTGCGGAGTATTCGAGGGTCCCCAGATGCCCTTGTTAGGCTGGGGGCCCCTCTTTCTGGGTTTTAGAGGGCCCCCGGGGGCCTCTGTCTCTGGGTTTGTGAGGACCAGGCGCTCTGAGTTTGTTTATGACTTTGTTGCGGACTTATTTGCATTTGGCTCTCGCCTTTGTTCATTATTGCAAAGACATTTTCCAGTTGTTTCTGTTAATTGATGGCAAAGAACTGAAGAAAGCCACTAACATGGGCCCCAGGGGGGCCCCCCGGGGGCCCCCCGGGGTCCCCCAGGGCCTACGGGGGCTCTACGGACCTTCTGGGGCCTCCCCTGTGGCTGCTGGCGCTGCAGCGGGGAGGCCCTGAGGCAGCTTTTGGAGCTGCAGAGGGCGGCCAGCAGAACTCTGCAGCAAAATGAGTTCGAAAAAGGGAAAATATGAGCCAAGTGTTCAATAGATATGTGCCTAACTTGAAGTGGGGGGCCCCGCTGCTGCTGCTGCTGCTGCTGCTGTTGCTGCTGCAGCCGCGGCTGCTAGGGTGTTGCTGCTCGTGCTGCTGGTGGTGTCTTGCTGTGGAGGGCTCAGTTTCATTGAAGAATAATGCAAATTAATTAAATTATAATAAATGAAATGCGAAAACGGCTTTTCTGAGTGTCAGGCTTGCGCGTTTGGTGTAGGGTGTACAGTCACTGCGGGGCGGCTGGTGGATGCTGCTCACTGTCTGCGGGCAGCGTATTGGCTGCGGGTTTATAGCCAAATAATGCAGAAAAGGGTTTAAAATGAATAAAAACAAATTTAAATTACAAATTAAATGTTAAATTTGAGTCAAAGCTGGCTTCTGCCGGGCTTGGGGGCAAAGAAACGGAAGAACACAAGGCACTGGTAGGCTGGCGCTGCCGACTGTGGCTCAATGGACAGGGAGTAAGAGGGGCCCTTTGATCGCATTTAAAAAGGGAAATGAATGTAAAATGCAATTAAAACGCTTAATAGACTTAGAAAGTGAATTAAAGACAAAAGAAAATTGGAAGGGAGGGGGTCGGCGGCCGCCAGACGGCAATGGCTCTGGCGCGGTGGAGTGTGGCGTGTGGGCCATGACTCCAGGAGTCCTCTGGGCTGTTCTTAACTTTCCTTTCTTTCTAAAAAGTAGAAATGAATAATAAAAAAGTAAATTTCAATAAAGTGTTTCACGCAGGGTCTTCCGCGCGCTGTCCGTACACCCCAGCTGCCTCGCCGCAGCAGCAGGTCTCGCCAAGCCTCCGCCCACAAAAGCTTTCGCTTTCTTTCTGCTGCTGCTGGTGCTCCTTTTCTCTTTTATTTTCAACTGCAGCAAGACACCAAACAACAAACTAACAAGCTCAGGTGTACGTACACCCCAACCCTCGGGGCCCCAGCAGCGCTAGCAGCTCCCCTTGCTGTCGGCCGCGCGTGCCATTGTCTTTATTTCCTATGAATTCGTTTTGAAAGTTTGTCTCCCTTGACTTTTCCTCCCCGCAGCTCTGCAGTCCCCTGCTGCTGCTGCTGCCGCTGCTGCTGCTGCTGCTGCTGCTGCAGCGGGCTGCTGCTGGTTTCCTGCGCTTCCTTTGCCTCCCTGCACCGCTTCTGCGCCCCAGCTGCTGCAGAGGCTGCCGGAAGCCCCAGCAGCAGCCGCTGCGCCGGCAGTTCGGTTCGCAGCAGCAGCAGCAGCAGCTGGAGGTTTTGCCTATGCATCGCAGCCTGAATTAGTTTTGCTTCTTTTGCTGCTTCAATGCTGCCAAGATGGAGCCGCGTCCGGAGCGCATAACGCGGGGGCGTATATACACCCCGCTGCGTCAGGTGTCTCCTGGGGACGAGGAGGACTTGGAGTTGCTGTCGCGGGAGTACCCTTCGACAGCAGCAGCAGCAGCAGCAGCAGCAGCAGCAGCGGACCCGCGCAGCCTGCCGTCGAAGGACGCTGCAGCAGCAGCCATTCTGCACGCCAGCCACCACGGAGACAGTCTCCGGGGGCCCCTGGAAATGGAGACTCCGCTGGACTCGCAAGGGTCTCGTCGGGAGTTGGGGCCCCTGCGGAGTCTGGCGACGTTTGTGGGCCCCCCTGCGTTCACAGCAGCAGCAGCAGCAGCAGCAGCAGCGCGGGGGCGCCGCTCGTCGTCGCTGTCGGAGAGCGGGCGGGGGGCCCCGTCCGAGGAGGGGGGGGCCCCCTACGACTGGCGGGGGCCCCCCGGGGGCCCCTCGGAGTCGGGGCCCCTGCACTCGCAGGGGCAGCTGGGCACGGACTTCATGCGGAACGTGCCGCAGGTGCCGGGGATCCCGCAGAACTGCGTGAAGGGGGGCAGCACTTTGTTCAGTTTGCTGGGGCTGCTGCTGTTCCTGCTGCTGTGCTGCAGCTTCGCGCTGCAGTGGTGGGGCGAGGCCGTGTTTGCTGAAGAAGTGACCCTGGAGCCCGAGGGGGACGTGACCCTGAACCTGAAGAACTGCGGGGTGGCCTTCAGGGCCTCGGGGGGCCCCCGGAGCTTCCTGCGGGTGCGGGCGTGGCTGCAGGAGCGGGCGGCGAGCCAGGCGGGGGCCCCCGTGCTGCGGAGGGGCCCCCAGGGGCAGCTGCAGGTGCTGCTGCACATGGGGAACTTCGACCCCTGGCACAAGTGCTCCGTGGACTTCCACCTGGCCCCCGGCTTCCGCTTCGGGGCCCTCGCGCTGCTCTTCGCCCCCGCAGACCGCTACATCAGGGTCTCCGCAGAAGTGCCCCTCAGGGGGGCCTCCTTCTTCATGGAGGCCTTCCACGCCTACGTGCAGCTGCGCTCCGTGGAGGCGCGGGCCATGCGTTTCACGCTGAGTGCGGGGCACTTGTACTTGGAGCTGGACGGGCCCGCGGCGGCCTACAGCAGCAGCCCCATAGCCATTGTCTCCCGCACAGCCCAAGTCCACGTGGTGTCTCTGTACCCGCTCAGTGTGTCGATGAGCGCGGAGACTGCGGCCTCGAGTCTCTTCCGCGCCACCGGCAGCGTCCGCGTGGCGCTGCCCAGCAGCAGCAGCAGCAGCGGCAGCAGCGGCAGCAGGGGGGAGGCGCGCGCGCTGCTGCAGCCCGCGGATGTGGCCGCTCTCTTCGCGGGACTCATGAGCATCCACTTGGACATCGACGCTGAGGAGTCTGCAGTCTACGCCACCTCCAGGGGGGCCCACGAGGACCCCGAGTGGCCCATGCACACCTGGGCCGGAGTGGA